AATTTGCAAATTTGTTTGCCCAGTTCTTCAAAACTATTCGACTTATCACTTTCATATTCGGAGGGAATTGTAGGTATCATACATCTCTGCTATCATCCCTTCACTAGCAATACCAGTCAGACGAACTAGACAAGCCCAGACAGCACATCCTTTCGTTGTCAACCTCGAAAGATGTCGAACAGCACTTTATCAAAACTCCTTCATCCATAGAACGGCTAGGCTCTGGAATTCATTGCCTGAGGAAGTATTCCCAACAACATATAATCTCCAGAAGTTCAAAAAAAAATCCAATACCTACCTCCTATCCCTATCCTCCCTAGGAACGCACGATGTTCTCTGAACATTATAGGGATTCCCTTTCGTGCGCTCCAAGCGATAAAAAAAAAAAAAAAAAAAAACTGAATTATGTGAAATGAACATAATCCCCGACCGTTAACCGATTTCCAAACAGAAAAAAACAGTTATACCAGTCTCCACTCAGAAACATCCTATAACAGGTAAATAGAATATTTCAACCACGAAATGTCATCTGATGAACGTGAAAAGTCAACGTTTTCAACGTGAAACAGGTTACCTTTTCGAAACGCTCTATTCGTTTCAAAAAGGTCACCTTATAGATTCGAAATGGAACAAGATTATAGTTGAAAGATGGAATTCGAAATATAACCAATTGAATTCCAAAAGATGACATCTCACAGTTATACGAGTTTCATTTGAGTTACTTTCCTTCTTCATTTACCATCTTTGTTATACGTGTTTACCACAATGAGAGTGAGTGAGATACTCACTTATAAACACTTGAACACATATAAGCCCGCAGCAGCTCGTGAGGATCCGTTTTTACAGGGTGATAATTTTTCACTCATTCTCGAGATATATCGATTCAGAAATTCTGCTGCGTCATAAATATCGTGATCTTTCCTCTAATATAGGGTACCGAATTTTCCTAAAAATCATGATTTGATCGAAATTACCCCTCATTTGTATGATCTACTTTGGATGGTTGATTGAGAATATGATGGGTGCAATGAAGATGAGAATTGAAAAATAATATGGTATGGAAAAGGTAGATACTATTCTTATCACGCTACAGACTTTTGAAATTGATTCATCTCGAAAATGGCGAGTTTTATCGAAACTGAACGGGAGTGACATTTTTGAATGAAAATGATGCTTATTCCATATTTCCTGGTCGAACTGCCAAAAATTACATAAATATAGAATTTGGGGGAAAAACTGTCCCAAGCCTTTCCCAACAAACATTTTAGACATGACATAAGTACGCCATTTCGACCTTCGTCTTATCTACCTCGAATTATAGGGAAAAAACTGGGAAGTAATTCAGAAGACGAGAATATCTGGGTATTCGGACCAATAGGTCGAGGGAACAATTAGGTGAATTTGCTCTGATTCTAGTCGGATAGTGATCTGATTTTAGTTATTCTGACGTTATTCATCACCTACTAATGGGAGGGTTTACTGAGATTTCTACATGGTTTACTGTCATTCGGTTGGGTTTGGAAAACAAATATATGTACCGTGTTTCACGATCGACTTTACTTTTTTTTTTATTATTTGACTCGGCCGTTACAAACGATAAGATTTTCACAAAATTCTCAAACACACGACATGTTTCGCTAACACAGTAGCTTCGTCAGGTGATATACTGGTATATACAATGAACTAAACTATATAACGTTGGCTTGCTACTTCCCCAACCTGAAGGATTAGTTACCTGTGGACAGGTACGATAAACCTCCATTTTCGGAAATAAGGCATAATATCTACATCAAATTACGGTATACTGGGTTAACTTGAAAGAGTTGATAGCAAATACATATTATTACTCACTAAGAAAACAAATTCAACTATTGAGGTCTGATTGATCATTAAGTAGAATGTCAAAATTCTTGGGTTCGTTGATTTCTAATGATTCAGAATGATTGAGTTCCAGTCCTTTATTTTCTACGTGCAGAATTTCGAAATTATCATCAAAACTATGGTTTTCTTCTAATATATGGTTGGCGTATGTTGAATTTGTTTTCTCTTTCATAAAATTTATCTTATGTTCATGAATGCGCTGATCAAACGTACGACCTGTCTGACCCATATACAGTGTGTCCCACTTACCATGCTCACCATGGGTATTTTTTTAACGGTGAGAGATACGAGGTCGGTTAAATGACACCAAATGTGGAGTTCGTCAAGGCCAACTATAATGTGAAAAAATATTTCGATAAAATCTATTCGTTTTTGTTTTATACGCAAAAAATAAATTTTGATCATTTTCATGTCTCCTCCGTAATTTCTTTAAGTATTTATGAAAATATTCAGATAGGAATTTCACATTCTCATGGCAGTTTTTCGAAGTGATTTTGAAAAAAATATGAAATTTATACCAACTGTTCTAGAATTTCAGATATCAGCACCAACTTTAGTTTTTCAAATGTAGGTCAAAGCTCACTATGACTTAGTTACAAATAACTTTTTTTTCTCTTACCGATGATATGTCGCAGTAATACTTTTGTGTTGATAACAACGGAGTTATCGTCATTCATACAAAAACAAAAAATTATTTGGAATTTGAATTTATAAATTTTAAGGAAAAAATCATGATCTCCGACCTCAAAAACCCCCACTTGCCAATTTTGAATGGAATCAGACCAAATCTTGTCCACAATACATTATGGAATCTTCGTTGAAATTAAAAAAAATGACTGCTCCAAGATGGCGGACAAGATTTGGTCCGATTCCATTCAAAATTGGTGAATTGGGGTTTTTGAGGTCGGAGATCATGATTTTCTTGTTGAAATTCATAAATTCAAGATGACAGCTTCCGAATACTTTTCTGTTTTTGTATAAATGACGATAACTCCATTGTTATCAACACAAAACTATTACTGCGACATATCATCGGTAGGAGAAAAAAAAAGTTATTTGTAACTATGTCATAGTGAGCTATGACCTACATTTGAAGAACTAAAGTTGGTGCTGATTTCTCAAATTCTAGAAGAGTTGGTATAAATTTCATATTTTTTTCGAAATCACTTTAAAAAACTGCCATAAGAATGTGAAATTCCTATTCGAATATTTTGATAAATAAAGAAGTTACGTAGGAGACATGAAAATGATCAAAATCTGTTTTTTGCGTATAAAACAAAAACGAATAGATTTTATCAAAATATTTTTTCACATTATAGTTGGCCTTGACAAACTCCACATTTGGTGTCATTTAACCGACCTCGTATCTCTCACCGTTAAAAACATACCCATGGTGAGCATGGTAAGTGGGACACACTGTATACCTTAGGACAAGATCCACATTTGAAAAATCAGGGGTATACAGTTGGATTGGAATATCCCCAATTTGTGAGAGTAGTTGAACAACATGCAGAAAACGGGTGTAAGTTCGGGAGCATATTTTTTGAGAACAATCGGTGGGGTTCCGTCGGAGCCACAAGCTTCGTTGGAGTCGACACTCAGATAACCAGATTTATTATGATTCGCTCTAGAAGCGTTCAAGTGGAGAGCTACCTGAACCACTCACTGGTCATGAAGAATGAAACATTCAAAACTCATAGGTACATTGCGCTTGTCTTCAGTATTTTCTTCCTTTCAGAAATGAATGATCATTTCGAAATATTTGTCGACCTCGAAGCACCAGGGTCAATAATAGCAATCAACTTTGAGATCATGATTTTTGGATTGATTTTGGTATTTTCGACTCTCCCAAGGACACTTCGTTCTATAAGGATTTCATAGTAGTAATGTTTCCTGAATCGGAAATGAAGTTGGTGCTAATAAGGTTAAAAAATTCTAAGAAACTTCTTCTACTCAAGTGGTAAAATATGGGTGAAACAGAATTATTTTCTCCATCCGATTATTCCCTGACTATATGAACGTTTATGAAGTGAGAATCCGGTCAAGTTTTAATCCAATGAATATCCTGAAAGTTCGAGGGCCTTGAAGACATTTTACTGGTAATTTTGATGTTGAATATTGCCCAATCAATAACTGAATGCCCACTAGGACCATGAAGTTATGTTTGGAGTCTGTAATGAGTAGTTTCCAACTATGCAATTGACCTATGAGGTTGATGGTTTCTATAGAAAATGTTGAGGTCATTATCATGCATTTTACAACATGATCTATAACTTTCTAGTTTTTTTACAGGGCAGAAAGGTAGAATATTCTATCGGAAATTAGTAAATTTCGACTTCTTCAAGTAATTGTTCCTTTCTGCTTGGTATAATTGTCTTAAAATGTTGGTTGGGTTGATCAAAGTTCAGGAAAATTCTTAACGGTTTCAAATAAGACATGAATAGTTATAGGATGATGAACAAACTTTGATTTCTTCATCACAGAGAGTTTCAGAAATACATTCATGAAACCATCATCTCGAGCTTTCCTTCAGGTGACTATAACCCCTCAGGGGACTATTTCTGAACCCATGTTTATATGAAGTTTTTTTACTTAGTACTTCTGTTTCTAGAATCAGTGGTTGAAATCTGTCTATGTAATTTTGGTACACCCTGTATAAGGTGATATCCGTCAAGAAACATAAGAAATCTTCATTTCATCTGTTTTTCCTTAATTAAAAATTTTTTCTCCAAAATGACATTCAATAATATTCTAATGGAAAATATATACCCCACTGTATTGTGAAGGACAAAACTGGTTATACCTCCATTTCCATCTGTTTTTCGAGAAAGGTACTGAATTTTGCGTACATTTTACTCCACTTGAGATGCGGTGTAATCACTTTCAGGGATATCCAGAGGGTACATAATGATTTTCAAACATGTTCTGGTGAATTACAGAATTTGAAATCATCGACTGGACTATTAGAATGCGGTATGCCATATTATGTAATCTATTGAAGATACCACAAACCAAAAATAAATACAACACATGCGTTTCTATGAATCTGGTACTTATATGATATTTGGAGATTATATCAGTTTATTATGTTCTTTTCTTATTTGAGAAGCATCGTTCCTCAAATAGTGATGTGAAGTTTTTTTACAAAAACACGAAGAAGTACATTCAGGGTAAAATGAGCTTACTACAAAATTTCAAGGGAACTTCGACACAAATGGTGGCAGCCATATCGGGTAAGTGAAATTATTTTCATTTCCGTCATGCCCATTAATTGGACCTGAAAACTGCTTCCAGGTACACTATTCGCCATTTCCGATGGAATGACATATGGATGGACAGCTCCTTTCATCCCCTACCTTATCAGCGATAAAAGCCACATAAAAACGACAAAACATGAAGCCGAATATCTAGAAACTGCCTTGCTACTCGGTTCTTTCTGTGGTTTGCCGATAACAATATACCTCGTAGACAAAATTGGTAGGAAGAAATCCCTGCTCCTAGCTTCTTGCGTAGTTCTGCTGGCTTGGATCGCAAAAGCTTTCGGTAACAATATATGGTACTTCTTCGTGGCCAGATTCTTCTGCGGAATGTCTGGCAACATGGCATTCGTGGCTGCACCAATGTACATTGCGGAAATAGCAGACCAGAAAATCAGAGGCTTCCTATCTAGCATAATTTACATCATGATGTTGTTGGGGTGCCTGATCGTCTACAGTGTTGGCCCCTACTTGCCATACTATATCCCATCGATAATAGGTGTCATCGTAGCAGGCACTGAACTACTCATTTTCTCACGAGTGCCTGAATCACCACTTTATCTCCTGTCGAAGAATAAACCAGAGCGAGCACTTGAGTCGCTGAAATATTTCAAGCCATACACGAACGCTACAAAAGAAATGGATGACTTGGTGGAAGTTTTGAGGGAACAACAAAAGAACAAAGGAAAATTTTGGGATTTGCTGACTGTATCGAGCAACCGTAAAGCCATCTTGATAATGACAGTGCTGAACGCTGGACAACACTTATGCGCCTACACAGTCATCTTAATGAATCTGCACCTCATTCTTGAAGCTGCTGGTTCAATTTATATGGACCCTCCAATTGCAGCTATTCTCTTCGCTACACTCATGTTACTCGCAGCTATGTTCGCCTCTTTCCAGATCGACAACTACGGAAGGAAAGTGTTACTTATTTTCTCCAGTGTTCTCACCGCTTTGTGCCTTCTGAGCATTGCTGTTTACTTCAACTTGAAGCAGATGGGTGTTGATGTGGATGGTGTGAGCTGGATACCCATAGCTTCTGTTATGGTTTATGGAGCCGTTTTCAAGATAGGTATCGGACTGGTGCCCATCGTGGTGACTGCTGAAATATTCCCGACTGACCTGAAAGCCATAGGAATGACTCTATCGGACGCTATGTTCATTCTGGGAGGAATAGTTGGGTTGCAGCTTTATCAGTGGTTGAGTGATTCGTATGGCTTGTATGTGTCGTTCTACTTGTTTGCTGCTTGCGGATTTTTCATTGCACTTTTCACTATATTTGTTGTACCTGAAACCAAAGGTCGGTCACTGGATGAGATCCAGGCTATTTTGAAAGGAGAGAAACCGCCAAGACTTAATAATGGGTCTAATAGAATGGACCAACCCGAATGAGGTAGATACTTGTAGCTCTGGAATGATTTCAGAAAATGACTGCTTGTGCAGGAATGTGTTCTTCAATCGAATTGTGTTCACTCTCTGATAGTTTGATTGAGATTATGAGGATATACCTATTTAATCACAGTAACGAGTGCCATTTCAACAACTCACAATGTAATAGATAAAACGCGGGATATTTCAAATGAACTTGGTTTACAAAGTGGATTATTGGCTGCGTTGGATTCTGGATTCCTCCATTATATTTTTTATATACTTCTTGATGGTTTCGATATAGTTTTCACCAAACATATTGCTGAGGAAAAACAAAACATTTTGTTATGTCAATAATTATATCACCTTTTGTCTGTATTTTAATCGTGGGGGTAGATAATATAAAGGACCCCGCACTTTTAGTACGTAAAATGGTTCTCGGTGAAATTTTCTGAATTTTCAGTATGTTGTAGAATTCGATGAACTGATTGAACCTGCAGAATCGTAAAGTTCTTTGATGAACAGATTCTGAAATACAGGGCGTTGAAGTTACAAATCGGTATTTTTCATTTAATTATTTTCTCGAAATTCAAAGATGCCAAGTACAATTTTTTTCGCTCATATCATCAACGAACCTCCATATTACTCAACATAATTCAGATGGTTCAGATAATGTGATTGTTTACAGAGTGAAACATATAAACATTTCAGTGATGTCTCAAATTCGATGTAATAATGAAATATCGAAAAAATAATTTAGGCATGCAATATACTATTCTCATTCCATCATGAATCACAATTCATACATTTCATACAGGGTGATTTGAAAAATTGGTGACACCTAAGACCGATTTATTCATACACATCCTGTATATTCGAGTGAATCGTTAGACTCCCAAGATAGCTGATACCGTATGAACATGATTTCGTTGAGATATATAGGGTGATCATGAAGATTTTCGATGATGAAAATGACAAAAAATCGTGTTTTTTGAAATCACCCTGTTATTCATGATTAACTCGGTGAAATTCCCTAATTATTTTTTAATATATCCATCATTCGCTCCTCAACGCTGTCTTGAAAATTCAGTTTCCTATCATGACGGGTGTCATAGCTATTAATTCAGGAACTTACCATTTGCATGAAGAGTTGAAGAGACTTGTTTAGTTATATTCGCATAGTGGCCGATATTTTTCACAAATAGTGAAACGTGAGAATGTGGAGACGAAAATGAGTTTAGTATTCATATACAGGGTGAACATAAGTAATTCAATAACAATAGCAGATATATGAATTTAATAATATTAATATAATGTACAGATAGTTAGGCGAATTTCGATTCCAGGATTCAACTCTCCCTATTAGAAATGGAAGCGTGAAAGACCGAATCATTCTCCCATCTCCTAGGTATTGTTCGTTTTTCATTTTGGCAGAGCTTGTATACCAACGAAATTCGCCTAACTATCTGTACATTATATTAATATTATTAAATTCATATATCTTCAATTGTTATTGAATTTCTAATGTTCACCCTGTATATGAATACTAAACTTATTTTCGTCTCCACATTCTCACGTTTCACTATTTGTGAAAAATATCGGCCACTATGCGAATATAACTGAACAAGTCTCTTCAACTCTTCATGCAAATGGTAAGTTCCTGAATTAATAGCTATGACACCCGTCATGATAGGAAACTGAATTTTCAAGACAGCGTTGAGGAGCGAATGATGGATATATTAAAAAATAATTAGGGAATTTCACCGAGTTAATCATGAATAACAGGGTGATTTCAAAAAACACGATTTTTTGTCATTTTCATCATCGAAAATCTTCATGATCACCCTATATACCTATCTCAACGAAATCATGTTCATACGGTATCAGCTATCTTGGGAGTCTAACGATTCACTCGAATATACAGGATGTGTATGAATAAATCGGTCTTAGGTGTCACCAATTTTTCAAATCACCCTGTATGAAATGTATGATTTGTGATTCATGATGGAATGAGAATAGTATATTGCATGCCTAAATTATTTTTTCGATATTTCATTATTACATCGAATTTTCAGACATCACTGAAATGTTTATATGTTTCACTCTGTAAACGATTACATTATCTGAACCATCTGAATTATGTTGAGTAATATGGAGGTTCGTTGATGATATGAGCGAAAAAAATTGTACTTGGCATCTTTGAATTTCGAGAAAATAATTAAATGAAAAATACCGATTTGTAACTTCAACGCCCTGTATCTCAGAATCTGTTCATCAAAGAACTTTACGATTCTGCAGGTTCAATCAGTTCATCGAATTCTACAACATACTGAAAATTCAGAAAATTTCACCGAGAACCATTTTACGTACTAAAAGTGCGGGGTCCTTTCTCTTCTTTCCAGATTTCTTGAGATTTCCTCTCCTCGTTTTTATGAAATAAAAATATGAATATTATTTCAATATACGTGTAGAAAGGACAAATCAGATGATTTGTCCCAAAATGTCATTGCGTTCAAAGAATTTTCCTATCAGAGAGCCTGAATGAAAAATTCAGCTTGTCAGTGACCATTTGTATTGTATTGAAGGTATATAGAAAAATATCAAATTTTCACTTAGCTTTGATATTTTTCTACATACCTGTATTTCTCTTCTCCATTACTATTACAGACAGTATTTGATAAATTTCTCTATTCTTTGGGATTCCATAAATCAAAGGATGAGTATCGCTTTGATATACTTGGGAGGACAAATGATATTAATATTATTGAAATCACACTTTTAGAAACCTAAAGTGAAGATTTAATCGAATGTCAGTTGAACTTATCACAAACGTTTTCATATTTCCCAATAATCCTTCATTCTTCTTCCATATCTTCCACACACCATTTCTTATTCAAACATGCGGTCACTGACTATTCATTATATTCTATCTATAGGCTTCCATCATGATGTAAATCATCTGATTTGTTCTCGATACAAGAATATCGAAATATCTAGGTGATACGAATATTTTTACTCAGAGAAACGAGGAGAGGATATATCATGATATACAGGGTGATTCACATAAGAACCGACATAGAGCAGGGGCATGTAGGGGGTTCCAAAATATGGTAATTCAACGCAACTTACCTATATACCAAGTTGCTTCCCTAAGGAGATATAGGCTTTGAAAGTGTAGTTATAAATTTTGAAAAAAATCAATATCTTCGTTATTCTTGAACTTAAAGCAATCAAATTTGTGACACTTTGTGGATGTATTTAGGGCGTTACTTGACAGTAACCAGAGTTTGATTGAAATTTGTAAAGGGGGGTATACCGGGTGGCGCACCATCAAAATTCAACATAATTTTGTTAACCCTTGATGGATTTCAAAAATCTTTTGCTTTGTTTTGTGGGCAATTTAATTCTTAAACCTTTCTCACTCTAGTAATTTTACGAAAAACCTCATCATTTTCATTAAAAACTCGAATAACTGAAAACGCGCGCTCTAGGTGTGTTATTTAAAATCATCGAAAATTCCAAAGTTGGCTATGAAAATAAACGTCAAACTTGACAATGAGGCAAGTGAGTTGTTCAATTGAGTAATTGTTGTTTGAGTGTTTTTAAAATGAACAGGAAGTTTTTTCTTTTAACGAGCAAGTTGACATGCTGTTAGTGCTATGCCTATAACTCCTTAGGAAAGTAACTTGGTATAGAGGTAAGTTGCGTTAAATTACCATATTTTGGGACCCCCTAAATGCCCCTGCCCTATGTCGGTTGTTATGTGAATCACCCTGTATACTCATTCAGAAAAATACCAAACCTATATTTAGACATCTTCAAATTGTCAAAGAACTTTTATTGTTTAACCATGTAGAGATATAATGACTATAGGTATCTTTTTCTGAGATAAAAATATGTTTTCACGATTATGGCTCAAACAATGTTTTTTGTTATTTTCTTTAGATTATGGCGCAATGATTTATTCTTATGCAAAATCGCGTTGAATTGCCTGTAAACAATTCAGTGATTTCATTATGTTACGTATTTGATAAGAAGGTTGCAATCAAAGTAATATGGTATCGAACATTTTTATATTATCCTATTTATCGATGTTTATTACTTCATTCAATTCAATAGACCCAGAAACAATTTTCCAATTATTGATATCTTTATTCATTTGGTTCAAATTTGTCTATGAGGAATTTTGTAAATATACAGGTTGGGGCATCGTATACGACACAGTCTTAATGTGGAGAACCATACAATAGTTCAGAATTCTTTTCAACTGTCTGGATATAGAATTTGTTCATGTAAAATTTTGAATCATTTCGAGATATACAGGGTGTTCCATAAAAAAGATACTTATCGAAGTTATATTTTTTTGAATGTTTTTAATTTAATTTATTCCTTCATCACAAGTTTTTTTCCTGTGTTATTTTTTATTAGGAACTGTTATGACGATAACCACCAGATATATTTTCGACATATCCAAATGTCAACGACTTGAGAATGAAAATGATTAATTATAATCCCCGTTTTGAATAAAGTCGCCAATATCTAGAAATTCATTGGTTTTATTCATAGGGAACCAGGATACAGGTCGGAAGGTAATCAAATTCTACGTCAGAATTTGTAGCTATCTACAGGGTGTGCCATTTGAAATAACAAAGTTTTTCAACTTCATAAATTGTAAGTTTCCAACCATAATTTTGTTATCACCCTGTATGAATTTTGACATTGAAATAAGAATGAAGGTATATTTCTAATCTTTCTTCAAACAATCGAAGCCATCACGAAGGTTCAGAATTATTTACAGAGCCAAATAAAAATTATCTTCATGTACCATACAATTCACCAATTCTTCAAATATTTCGAAAACGAAAACGAAGAAACTCACCTCCATTTGTGCTGCGGAATCCGAAAAAGACAAAAAATATTGGGTGTTCCATTCAAAAAAATATAACTTCGATACGTATATCTTTTTTATGGAACACCCTGTATATCTCGAAATGATCTGAAATTGTACATGAATGAATTTTCTCTATCCAGCCACTTGAAAATAATTGTAGAATATTGCATGGTTTTCCACATAGAGACCGTTTCGTATACGATGCCCCACCCTGTATATTATCACTGAGAAAAATATCTTTCGGCTGTTATACAATATTGTATAACCTTCAAAAGATTTCGGAATTGAATAATAGGCGCCAGCATTGTTCCCTTACCACTATCACCGAACACAAGTTCATCTCTTGGGAAAAAATATATAACTGTGAAAAATTACTCATATGGAAATGAAAGTATTCTCAGATATGTCGTAAAGTACTGAAAACTTTTCATCTTCAATTTGCAAATTCACAGGGTGATCCAGGATCAAGTAATGACGTCCGTGACAAACACCATATACAGGGTGTCAGTGAATAAGTGCAACAAACTTTCTTGTGATAGTTCAGAAAATAAAGTTTATATAACCATGTGTGCTTCATTTTCGAGAGACAGGGTATTAATATTTCCTTGAAAAATTGTTTTTTCAATCATAACTCAAATGTTTTTTATCAATCACTAGTGGTTTCGTTGAAAGTAACGTGGCGCTTCTCTTGATGGGGTACATATATTTCGTCAGATCGTATTGTATCAAAACCGTATTTCATCAAATCGAATTCTATCATAATGGCATTCTGTAGAAACTGTACTTCATAGAACCAATAATTCATCAAAATATAAAGGATCATAATGTATCTCATCAAACAGTTAAACGAAGAAATGTACTTCATAGAGAAGTAAAACATCATACCTTATTTTTTAGAATTGGTAATCCATCATAACCGTATTCCATAGAAACAGTAAATTATCAAAATCGTATTATATCGAGACAATATCGTATAGAACCTGTAGAGCATCGAAACAGCAATTCTTCAGATCCGTATTTCATCAAAACATCAATCTATCAGAGTGAACACTTATCGAATTTGTAATTTAGCGAAACCGTAATTTGTAGAAACCGTAATTTGCCAGAACCGTATTTCATCAAATCAATAATCCATCATAACCGTATTTCGTAGAATCGGTAATTCATCAGATTCGTATTTCATAGAAACAGTAATTCATCAAACCCGTATTTTATCAAATTGTTAATTCATCATATCCGTATTTCATAGAATCAGTAATTTGTCAGCCCCGTATTTTATAGAAACGGTAATTCATCAGATCCGTATTTCATAGAATCAGTAATTCATCGAACCCGTATTTTATAGAAACGATAATTCATCACACCCGTATTACATAGAATCTGTAATTTGTCAAACCCGTATTTTATAGAAACAGTAATTCATCAGATCCGTATTTCATAGAATCAGTAATTTGTCAAACCCGTATTTCATCAACATTAATTCTCCATATTGAATAACTGGTAATTCAGCAGATCTGTATTTCGTAGAAACCGTAACTCGTCGACACCGTATTTTATCGGACGGTAAATCATCAGATCAAGTCGAAATCGAAATGATACAGGAAACTGCGATACAGGAAACTGCATTGCAGTGACTCGCCAAAGTAAATTTAGATAGTTGAGTAGGACACGCACAGATGTCGCAGCTCGATAGTGAAGTATAGTGAAATACTGTCGAGAATTATTGATTTTACAGGAAGAGCAAGAGATGCATTCGTTCATAACTATAATTCAAATACTCGATGGTAGGGTAGTTACCTAAACCAGAGATCGATATTTCGTGAAGTTGATGTACACAGCAATTTCCAAACGTTCTAAAATAATCAAATGTTGTAATTATGTTATGTTATAGAACTGACATGGGTATTTTGACATAGTTTTCGATATAGGTATATTATTTCATTTTCATTAATTATTATGATTGACCGAACCACTACTTTTCACTGTAGTGATTCATAATCGATAGGTACAGCCATAAATACTTGGGAAGAAATCATTCCAGGCCTGAATAGGTACCTATACCTAGGTGTTATATTTTGAACATTTCATCCTTACCAGGTGCACATCCATGGGAGCTAGAAGGGGTGATTACCCCCCTCAGAAAGCAGGAAGGGTAAATTCAAGATCGCGGATCCCATATGGCGGACGAAATCTATTCAAAATTTGTATCTGCGGGTTCTCGGGATCATGAATTCTTATTCTTCGTCGAAATTTGGAAATTCAAGAAGGCGGATCCAATATATGGCAAACGATAGTTTTCTAATTATCATGATCCGCTTCTATTCAAAATTGGTATCTGGATTGAAAGGGTTTTTGCTCGGGTTTTTGAGGTCGGAGATAAGGATTCTTTCGTCGAAATTGGTAAATTCAAGATGGCGGATCCAATATGGCAAACGAGTTCATTTTCTAATTATCTATCTGGATTGATAGGGTTTTTGAGGTCGGAGATTATGATATTCTTTCGTCGAAATTGGTAAATTCAAGATGGCGGATCTAATATGGCGGATGATTTATCTCATTCAGATTCAATACCACTTGCCGTATCCACAGCTTTGCAGACGATAGAACTCTCCATACTGCGTTTCCTTCTAGAATTCCCACTTGTTCCAGGTAACCAAGAACTTACGACGAAGGCAGGTCAACGCTGTCCATGACGACAAATTACTACCTATAGAGTACCAACAATCTAGATCAATTCAACGCCACCAAAACGGAACCCTGTATTTTTCTTTATAGAGAGACAGAACTCAGCATGTCTGATATAACAATGTCTGGAACCAGTATTCCTACCAAAACCATACTATATTCATACTATAAAGGTATTTTCATCAGCAATACTCTTTCATGGGAGAATCATGTTCGATCCATCGCGAAAGCAGCTTCGCAGAAACTCGGATTTTCACTCCGCGCGAAAATTACTTTATACCTCAACGGCTTCTCAAGGTCTACAAAGCACAGATACGGCCAGTTTTAGAATACTGTTCTCACATATGGGGTTCAGCACTCAAACATACGCTGATGTTCTAAGATTCCGTCCAGAAAGGAGCCATTCGTCTGGTGGGTGATGCCACACTCAGTAATACTTCGACCTCATTAAAACACCGTAGAGAAGTCGGCGACCTTTAACTTTTCTATATATACTTCCACGGAAAATATTCCTCAGAAATCTCTGCAGACGAACTCGACAGGTCCAGTCAGCCCATCTTTCCCTAATACACCTTGAAATATGTCGAACAACACTCTACCAAAACTCCATGTCTATAGAACGAAAAAGCTTTGGAATTATTTGCCAATGGAAGTATTACCAAGAACTCAGAACCTCAATAAGTTTGAAAAAAATGCCAACACCTCTACCTCCTCTCCCTATCCTCACTTCCGTGTGCTCCAAGATATATGAATAATAATAATAATGATATCGTAATGCAAATAATGGCTTATTAGGAGTATCTGGAGAACGGAAAGACAGGTAATTCTCAAAATTGGTATGCATCGATAAACAAGCATTCTCTATTCGTCTGAAATATATTAATCAATACTGACTGTTATTACGAATGGAACACGCTGTTAATTATTCCATTTTCTGAATTCACGTCAATTTCTCATCAATTTTGTCTTGTATTCCTCTATAGTTACCTATATCTGACGGATTTTTTGAGATAATAATTGATTTCGGAATTTTTTGAGCAAAATCTATCTTTGAATAAATTTCAATATTTTCATACTTATATAATCTGAAACATTCAGAAGCTAATATTTGAAGGAGGTGAATAAGTTCGAGAGCTCTAGATCGTTCATGGAAATCTTCATTTTCACATGATGACTAATGAATCAAGACATTGTTGTGATTTAGAAAAGCTACTACGCATGTCAAGTTTTTTAAATGGACCACCCTGTATTTCATTGCATTGTCTGATTCTACATTAATTACCCGTCAAGTTCCCTCGATATTCCCCTTAACCGTAAAATGAGGTGAAACGCAGTACCAATCGCAACAGTTTTCAGCAAAACATCGTTATATATTTTTTTCTGTGACGGGATAAAAGTTTGGCATTTCATCTCTGTTGGCAGGTTATAAAATGTCACTTTTCATAAACTACTTTTTTTCCGTGGGAAAAAAGTGAGTACTTTTTTCCCGGATATATATCACATATATATATACACTGTTGAGTCAATAATACCGTCTCCGAGAAAGAACTGCAAGGCCATTTATCTTCCATTCGACTTCGCGATGACGTATATTACTAAACAACCACTAAATTCGCAATTTTTTGAAATCAATTCACAGAATTAGACTGACAGAAGTGACATCAGATATTTGATTACTTCAAAAGAATGATAAAGATGCCTACAGCGCAGGTGTCCCGACTGTTAAAAACTTAAAATTTCACGTCGATAATTTTCAGATTTCAAAATAATGTAATATCTTCTCAATAATGATTCGTACTTTTTTTTTGTCACAGAAAAAAATAGTGTATTATTATACAAGGGAAAAATATTAGATTTTAGCTCACGGTTTTTTGTCTCCCTCCGCTACGCGTCGGAAGACAACACAACCTGGAGCTAAAATTTACAACTTTTTTCCCTTGTATAATAAATAACCATTTTTAAACCCTGTATCCTTTTTATATAGAAGGTTGAAATATTTTTCATAGGTATCAGAGGGAGATTATACTTGAAGCACAAATAATAAATTTCTAGAAGAAAGATGTTTGATGTTAATATATTCAATTCATCATCAACTTTTAATAAGATTTTGTCCTTGAAAAATCTTTATATATCTGACAAACTTCTTCAACATTCAAATTTGAGGTCAACAATACCTCAACTCAAATGCCTGAAAGCTATATATGAGTTTTCAAATTTGATTGGTTACAATAATAAGCCGCGGAAGAGTGGGGTTAATCGCAACAACATTTCAACGCCTGCCGGTCCGCATCAGCATAGATGAAAATTACACCGCAAATTTTTTGCCTTCGATGGAAAGACAGCCAAATAAAACATTTTATCTACAACTATGGATTCATTCATACATTGCTCACTCGATTTTCGACATTTAATGGCAGTCATTATTGTGATGAATCGAGTAATAAGAGTAATAATGACAGTAGGGTGGCGTAATAATTTGACATCCCATCGTCTTGTCAAATTCAACTAGGTAGGTATTCGTTCTATCAGTTCGCAAATCCACCGTACCATATTGTTCTCGTAGTTTTAAACATCTTAATTCTACAAATACATGGAAAAATAAGAATTCACTGTTTTCCATCCTCAACAGTGACTATCATCATGAGTAACCATCATGAGTGACCATAACCATAAAATAGGACTTGACACTTGCAGATTTGCTCACACCTTAGATCCTGTATGATCTAAGGCACACACTAACACTTATATGGCTACAGGCTATTGGAATAGGTTAGTACAGACCAATCAGAACCATGGAATTTCATTGTTGATAACTAGCTTCTAGAGACAGGGTACTACAATCAATCATCGCGGTGGGGGAACGCTACAGCGGAAGCAAAAAAT